TAACTTAGTCATGTATCACTTTTAATGTGTTACGCATTAAGTAAATTTAAACAATTCTTAAATTTAGAATATTTCATTTAAAAAATTGTCAGAAATTAATTTTTATTTACATAGTATTCTATTAATTAATTTCATGAATAAATATAAATTGATAAATTATTTACTTACAAAAAAAATATTATTTAATATCAATAAGAATGTGCACACGATGTTTGTAAAAGTAGAGATATTTTCTTCATTTGGAATTTAAACTTAGGAAAATTTGGAAAACTTAGTTCATTTCAAACCATCCTTTTTTTTTTCCTCCAGGAAGTGTTAATGCGATTAACAAAACAATAATGAAGAAGATAAACAAATTTGTGAAATGTTCGATTAAAATATAAATTATTTTACGAAGTCCGTTTTTATAAAAAGATATTTTGTGAAGGGTCCGTTAACGGACCCAAATTTCTTCTAAACAGACCCCTGATTATGGAAGTTGCTTAACAACAAAATGTGACCAACTGCACTTTATATTAAAACTATCTTTTTTTTTTGAGTAATCAATTATTTTTTACACGGGAGAATACTTCATTAATGTTTAAAATTGCCAACCTGTATTTTCCGATACCACATCTGTGTCTCTATTTGCCCTCTGATTTGCAATTTAAATGTGAATTTAAAGATATTTCCATATAATCCATCACTGTTGTGAGCTTAAGTAATGGGGAATCATTTTATTCGAATTTGTTCCAAAAATTCTTCAAATTAAATTAATGCAGTAAAAGTCAAAACGTCAAACAATGGAGTGTATTTCGTTACGTTAGTGAGGGGAGGTGTAATAATTTTTAATGACAACAGGGTAGGGGGAGCTCAAAAGCGCCAAAAACATGCTTTCGTGATTTAATAAATAATCCCAAGAAACTGAAGCGGTAAGATATTATTGGATTATAAAACTTCCTAAGTTACAAAAATACGCATACACAACAGTCGACATGTTTCGAGAGCACAAGAATAGGCACCCATTTTCAAGACTTGCCAGACGTGAATGATGCGAGGTGGTAGCCTATTTTTGAGCACTTGAATACGATGGCAAAAAGTTACAGAAACAAAACTGAGCTTTAAACTGGGTAGATATGATAATTTAAAAGCAAACTGTTCGTGTAAACAAACTAACTGAATAATAGTTTCGTTTTGATTATGCTAAATAATTTCTGCTGGTTATATTATGATTTAGAGCGAAGGGGCCGTTCAGATAATACGTATTCATCTGAAAGGAAAGGGTAAGCGATTTTTTTATTTTTGCTGAGAAGGGAAAGGAGGCAGTGATTACGTAAGATGCTAGTAATCCCTTATTTTCAATGTTTTCTAAAAAAATTCAAAAAACAATTTTTTTTTCTCCATGAAAATTACGCGTGAAAAAAAATGAAATAAAAGTTAAAAGTAGTTAAAAGAACAAGTTGAAAAAATTTCTTCAAGGAATTTTGGAAATTTTATAATCTAAATTAAAACTTGAATTTTGTTTTATGTATAGTTCAATATTTTGCTTAAATTTAAGTCTGAAATTCTTAAGATTAGATTACTAAAGTAAATCTCAAAATTAAAGCAAAAAATAAGGGGTGTTGCATCTTTCGTACGTAAGCATGAGAGAAAATTGTCATTTGCTTATTGAGGTCGTTCATATATTACGTAAGCATTTCACGGAGAAGGGCTAAATAATGTGCTTATTTCTGCTGGAATAGCAAATGCTTGTGTAAGAAAGACATTAAAATCCCCTTTTCATCAAAATTTTTTAAAATGCCAACAAAAAAAATAATAAATAAAAACTACAATTGGAAAGAGTTTTTAAATGTTGAAATAAATTCGGGGGGTTAGATCCAATTTGTATATTTTTGAAGTGAATGAAGTTTTTTAATCATGTAATATGCTTTCATGATATTAAGGGTCAATTCCTGGGGTAGGAACTACTGGATGCCAATGTTGGATGCCAATGTTGCACTAGAGCTGCACAATGGGTTATTGGCGACGGTCTGGGAAACATCCCGGAGGATGATCCGAAGACATGCCATCACAATTTTGATCCTCTGCGGAGGGGAACTGGATGCCAAAAGAAGCTAGTATAAAATATTTCTCACTTTGAACACAAATAATTCTTTATACTGCTACCTTCAAATAAGCTTTGGGTAATACAATTATAACTTTCATCTTTTTTTTCTTCACTTTATACTTTCTAGTACATTAAAGCAGAGGTGATCAACTCTTAGTGTGCTACTTTTAGTGTAAATTGTCTCAAGATGCTACTCCATCGTGCCGCATTTTATAAAACGTCATAACGCTTTATAAAAATATAAATGTAGTAAAAGTATTAATTATGTAGCTAAGCGCTAATAGAGAAATGCGGAACAGGAAGTAAATAATTAGAAAAAAAATTAACTTATGTGTAATTCGATACAATTCAAAAAAAATTTTTTAATTATTTGATCAATTTCAGAGTTAGGTTTTTTAAAAAAAATCAAATTACCATTAAAGAATCTAAGCATGCTATAGAGGAAATTTTATCTAATAATATAATGGTTGGTAAACTTATGAAGCTTTCCATATTGTTTTTAAATCCTATTTTATTTTCTTATTTTATAACTGCCGTTACAAAGCCGACCCAATTTTGGGTTTATGACTACTAATGTTCAACTCCGTAGCCTTGTAATTTTGAACCAATCCAGAAGACAAGAAATCTCCTGAGTTAGTACCCCCAGAGGTTTGATTTGTAATGGGAACATGGAGGACTTTGTGACTTGACAAATTTGACATGCATCAGACACCATTTACTACACGGGCACTCTTCGGCCGGTAGTAAATCCAAAAAATCTACCAACTTTTTTTTAAAAAAATCTTACAATTGGTTTATGGCAGAAAAACGTACATGTCTAGCAACTATTTAACCAATTCAACAGATTTGGCAATCACTATAATATTATAATACGCCAAAATATTTTTTAAGAGTTTTAAGTCAATCGGAGAAAAACTTATGACATCTAAAGCCTTTTTATAAACTTGAACAGCTAGGAATGGAAACGAAAAAAACAAGTATTTTCATAACCTTTTTTTGAAATCAGTGGATACGATTTCTCAAAAACTAATGAATTATTCTAATTGAAATTTTTTACACATCAATTAGATTAACTAATCAATTTGATAAGCAGTTAATCAATTTGATCACTTAATTTAAATTAAACTAAGTAGGTATTGAATGAAGGGTTTATCTAATATTTGATCTTGACTTATTATAAAAGGCAATAAATGCACCTCTTTCATTTGAATTCATCTATTTTTCATATATTGACTGTTATTATTCTTCATTGAATTTCTGTTGTTAAAACATTAGAAATAAAATAGAACAACAATCGAAGAATATTTTATGAAATTTACATTTTCGTTTTTTTTTCTTTACCCAAATCAGAATTGGGTATACTATAGCCTACGTCACAGGTTGTGTTATTCCTACTAAATTTAACCCATGAACGGCATTTTCTGCTAGCCTAACTTCAAGCCACAAATAAACAAACGAAGTGTTTAATCGTTTAAATAGCTGCTCGCCAGATTTTATTGCATTATAAAGAAAAGTAATTGATATTCGATTTTTGATTAATAATTGATTTATGTGGATAGTGGCATAAAATTCAGCATTGCGTCATGGTAAATGTTATTCCTACTAAGTGGAAGTAGTTGTGTTTTTTTTTATATTATACCCAATTGTCGTTATATTTCTACATACACATTATCCTGTGTGTTTAATTGTTTTGTCAAACGATATTTGTATAATTGTTTTGTCACAATATCTATATTTATGTGATGTCATAGGAAAAAAAAAGTGAAGCGAGAAAGAGAGAGAGAGAGAGAGTAATTAAGAAGAAAAGAGGTCCCTCAACCCTCCCAAGTGGAAATCTCATGAATAATTCGATGTCGCGTCGCGAAATAAACGTCGCGGAATGTGGGTCATTTTTTGGTTATCATGTCTGAAACCGGTTGTGGTGCACATTTGATGGTTATATTTTCATTCTATATTAATCCAAGAGCCTACCCTCCCTGCACAAGAGCGTTGACAGTCCTTTTTGGTATTTGTCAAGCATTGAGAGGACATTCGCCAGAAGATGACATTTTTGTTTCTTTCTGAAAATGAAGTATGGAATGTTTTCTCAGCAATTTTGCATTCTCTTATCATTATCGTTCTTATTAAGTTTTAATGATTTGTTGCGAAGTGATAAGAAAACGATACTGGAAACTTAGGTTGGGTACTGAATCTGAGATTCGAATTAACGAAATGGTCTGTTATTTGGATTCGAATTATCATTTTAAAACTAATTTAATTCGAGTCAATGATTCGAAAAGGTTGATTTCAGCCATTTTTAAGAACTAAAATCGCTTGCTGACTCATTAGTAAACTTATTAGAATTAATTGATTTTAATTTGTTATTCCAAAATCAGTGGCTGTAATAAGCAGAATTGAATCAGTTGATTCGAATAATTTAAAATGTTCCATTTTGAAAAGGTTTTTAATTTGTTTTTTATAATTCGATTCGATATTGTTGACTCGAATGACATAAGTTGATCGAATTTAACAATAATTCTAATTTGTTGATTTTAATCAGTTTATTTGAATCAATTAATGGAAAAATTCAGGTTGGTTAATTTATTTTATGACAAAATTTAATCAATGATTAAAATTAGTAGTTTCAAACTAGTAGATTAAATTCCATTGTTTAGGAATGATTTTAATACATATGTAAATTTTAACCGGTTTGTTCCAATTGTTTGATTCGAGTTCCCATCTATTTATACAGGTGAATAAGCTGATTCGAATCGCTGATTTGTTTCGTCCTTACAATCACTTAAAACAAAGCCAATTCGATTCATTATTATTAATCGTTTTACCAACTATAGTGCCCTTGCAATGATGAGTTGAACTGTATTATACATAGATACATAATAAATAGATAGTCACTAATAAACAGTTTTAAACTCACCCGTCAAATCAAGCTTTTCCAAACTATGGCACCTCGACAAAATATCCGTCACGCCCCTCGTCGTAAGGGCTGAGCATCCTTTTAGTTCCAGAACTTTCAGTTCCGGACATTTGAGAGCTATAGTAGCCAATCCCCTGTCAGTTAGTTTCGAACAACCATTTAGGTGTATTCGTTCCACGGTCAGACACAATGTGGGCGAATCACGACACAAAAGACGAAAGAGGGTTTTCAGACCTCTGTCCACTTGGATTTTATCACCACTTAGGATGACCGATGTCCAGAGTTGGGGTTCCCACACCAAGAAGTACCACCGCCGACAAACCCTGGCACTCACACAAAGTTCGTTGCTGGAGAGGTAGGAGAAGATCTTGAGTATCAGGTTGTCAGAGAGTTTCTCGAAAGGAGATGGACGTTTTGGAAGTTTCTTGCCCTGCGGAATGTTAAAAACAATTTAACAAAACAGCCGATAAAATAGATATAAATGCCAAATATTGTACAATATGCCTAAGGCATGAAAGTACTGGTTTCTTTCGTACATCATCCGTAAAATTCATTTTTATTATAAAATTTTATACTGTACTTTTTACAGCCGTGTTTTTGCACTAATTTTAAACCATTTCTATAATTGATTTTAAACCATTACTGTAAAAATTACGGTGTATCAGATCCCGAAAAATTTTACTCTAATGTTGTTGTTGTTACTTTACGTCGCACTAGAGCTGCACAATGGGCTATTGGCGACGGTCTGGGAAACATCCCGGAGGATGATCCGAAGACATTTACTCTAATAATGGAATAGAATAATAGACCTGAGTGCCTGTACTTTTTAACATAACTTGATCCGAAATTTTTTACAGTGCAAGTGTCAATGGCATTTTTAGACTGAGTAAGAAATATGAGAATTGTTATGTACTTTATTTAGGTATTGTATACAATATCTGGCATTTGTAGGTAAAATCTGATATGAAATATGATATGATAAAATACGTTAGCATTTACTAATAAAGAGATAAAGGATTTTTAGACAAAGTATAAAAAAAAGAAAGAGATTAAGATAAGGCTTTTTATTTAAAAAGAAATATTCATTCCGCAAAAATACAAAAAAAAAATTCATTCCGCAAAAATACAAAAAAAAAAAATTTTTTTTTATTCCGAAAAAGTACAAAAAAAAAATTTATTCCGCAGAAATACAAAAAAAAATATTCATTCCGCAAAATACAAAAAAAAAAAACATGAAAGACAATCATTAAACAATTTTCATTTAAGAAATATAGTGTCACGCATTTGCGGTATTTAGCGAAAATCGTCGATTAAACGGAATTAAAATATAAATACGAACTTGTACAATTTGTATATTCAATGTTTCTTCCCAACCTTAATATCTTTTGGTTTTCAGATGAGAATTTCTGCCGCATTTGTGAACAAAGAATAAAGCTTTCCATTTGTTCAATTTTATAATTCTGCAACCAAAATTATATGAAACTGTTAGGTGAAACAAACTTTTCAAGCTGCATACTTTCTGGTTTAATACGCCAGAGATGAATACGCTCTGTATTGAGGGAATTTTGAACATTGTTTCCTCTCTTAATTTGAAACGTGCTTAAAAATTTCATACATTAAACAATTTCAAAACATTTCATATCATTTAGAGTAAAGTATAACACCTAAGCATTCTCATTGAAATTTTTTAATGCAACTACTGTATTTTATTGAAGTTATACTTCTTATGCGACTTCCAACAAGGTTGCGTTAAACGTTTAACGCTACCTTTTTATTGGCCGGGAAATCACGAGGTAGGATCCAGTTTTCCCTCATTCATTTCCATATTGTTTTGGTTNTTTTTTTTATTTTTCACATGAAAATTCGTATTGCAAACAACTGTACAATTTGTTTTAAAAAAATGCACGTTTTCTTTCAATTATATTTAATAATAAGAAAAAAAACTGCTCAAATTTTAATTATTAAATTTAATAAAAAAAACTATACATCTTTCCATACAACTTCGCTGAAAAATCAAAGTTCAATTTTCATTTTTGCAAGTTTTTTTTTCAGTTATATTTTAAAAGTAGAAAAAAGAAACTGCTCAAATTTCAAGTATTAAATTTAATTAAAAAATTTTATATCATTCCATGTAACTGAACTGAAAAATCAAATTTTAATTTTGATTTTAATCTTCTGTTTGACTACAAGTCAACTCTATCTAAAAAAAAAAAATTTTTAAAAATGCGTGAGCAAAATTTCAGTAAAATCACTGGATTTGTCTCTGGGGAATAAGGCCCGAAGTGAAAATACTTCTCTTAAAAGTGTCTCCAATTCATATCAAATGATAAATTTTCAAAATTTTTTTAATGAAAATTTTATGAAATATTGTTTTCAATATGCTTAAAGTTTGAATAAAATTACTTTTTCATTTTATTAAAAAAAAAAAAGAGAGAGAAAAAACAGAAAGGAGAAAGAAAGAAAATACTTTTTTTTTTCAAATATTGCAGAATCCTTGTAACTTTTTAAAAGAAAATAAATATTTTTCTGAAAATAAAAAGATCAATATAATTTTAATATCTTTTTCTTTATTACGTAATAAAAAGAAAAAGAAGAAAAAAGAATAGAAAGGAAAAGAAAATAATTTTTTTTCATCCTTTTCAAAATTCATGCAACTTCTCAAAAGAAAATAAATAACGCATTAAAAATAAAAATAAATAAATATGATTCTAATATTCTTTCCTTTATTACGCGAATCACGTAAAATGCTTTAACTTGGAAGACTTTTACCAAGAAAAGTTTATTTTCGTGTTTATTCTTAATAACACAATAGCAGCGAATTCTGAAAGTGTCCCACGCAAACTGAACTGTTCTATGAAAATACTTTAGAACGTAGGTGGGATGCATTGTATTTCCCGTTATTTGCTTTGAAATCTCTCTAGAACGTTTAGAACACAAGTCATTTTTTCCATTTGAGAGACACGTTGAACTTTTAATCTTTTTCAACGAGCATTTAGATTAATCAAAATTTTTAACGCTATGTTTTTATAAAATATTTACAGATAATCGTTTGTGAGGGAAGATAATGAGTGATAAATGATTTGCTTTTCCTGGCATCTGGCAATGAATTTTTAGAATGTGCATTGTTGTGCATTTTTATTTTTCCATTGTCCTACCCACAAACTAAAATGAACCCACGCAGAGAATTAAAGCTAGAAAGAAGATAAGCTGAGAACGTGTTTTTGCACTGAAACTTATAATGCTATTGCACTATATTCATAATTCTTTCTTACCAAAAAAAAAATAATAATAATAAATAAATAAAATAAAGAAATAGGCTTTATATTTATCGTTTGCAAATTCTAAATCTGTTACTAAGGAAAGGAATTAATATTTTTTTCTCCTGATATTCTTAGAGTAGCAAACTGTTCTAGAGAAATGGTTGACGTGTTGCCTAAAATTGGTAGGCAAACAATTCCGCAAAGGCTGCATTTTTTTTTTCAAATCTTTTATTTTAAAATTTTATTAAATAAAGTAACAGATTTTTTTATATTAATTTTTTTTCTTCGTTTTTTTGTCACAAACTGTTCTACAGAAACAATTCATGAGTTGCCTGAAATTGATAGGCAAACAATTCCGCAAAAGAGCATTTTTCAATTCTTTTATTTTAAAATTTCATTAAATAAAGTAACAGATTTTTTGATGTTATTTTTTTTGTTTTTTGTAACAAACTGTTCTACAGAAACAATTCATGAGTTGCCTAAAATTAATAGGTAAACAATTTTGTAAAGGCTGCCTTTGTTTTGTTGATCTTTTTATTTTAAACATTTGCTAAATAAAGTAACAGATTTCTTGATATTATTTATTTATTTATTTTTGTAACGAACTGTCCCAGAGAAAGAGTTTTGAGAGTTACATAAAATTGGTAAGCAAACACTTCCGTGAAATATGCATTTACTTCGATGTTTTATTTTTAATTTTTGTTGTTGAATAAAGTACTAGCTGAAGACAAGATAAGAAGAGAGGTTTGTGTTCATTTTTCACAAAAATGACGATTGGTTCGCCATCTTGTGCATTTTGAAGATTAGTAAGTTTTGAAAAATTAATGACGTGTAAAATCAGTTCTTCATCTCGAGTTATTAAAGTGAATGAGGGCCGTGCTGAGGAAAGGAAAAACGATTTCACGCGAAGACAATGAGATCGAAGTAAAGTTATATTGTCAAAAAGACAACAGAACAAGTGAGGAAGTATTGACTAGAGAGGAATGGGGGGGGGGGTAATCAGTTCCTGTCCTCCCTGATTTTCAAATTTTAACAAACTATTCTGCTGAAAAAGCTGAGTAGCATAAAATTAATAGGCATACAATTTCGCAACTGTTAATATTTTCTTTTCTTTTTTTTTTTTTTTTGAAATTTTTTTTCAAATTTTTTTTGTTAAATGAAATAACAAATATCATGATTTTTTTTTTAAATTAACTATTCAGGAGAAACAGTTTATGAATTGTAAAGGAGAAAAACAATATTTTTGATTAACTTTTCGACTAAATGTTCTATTTTAAATTTGTTTCTTAAAAAAATAAAGTTCCAAAATCATTGAATTTTATTTCATATAAATCAATCCCCAGGAATCGAAAGTTTCCATTTTCTACAGAAACGTTTTTGTTTTTTTTAAATGTCTGTATTCAATCAAAGAACGACATCAGACATCAATATAATATGATCAGGATAAGTAAAGTGATTTCTGAAACCCTCCATTGAATAATTTTTTAAATGTGGTTTTAAAACCATTGGATTTTATTTCATGTATATCCATCTTGAGAACTCTAATTCACAACACAAACGAATTATTCTTCGAAAAAGAAATTACAGAACAAGTATTGGATTTTGCTTCCTTTTAATCTATCACAAGAAAATAATTGTTTTCATTGAACTACACAAACTTCACTTATTAAAATACTTGTTTTCAATCAAAGAATATTCTAGATTTCAATATAAGTATACTAAATTCTAAAACTTTCTGTTGAATGACTTCGCAAATAATTTTGATTAACATTTTAACTAAGTGTTCGATTTTATTTTTCGAAGAACAAAATGGATTTAAAATTATTGAATTCTCTTTCATTTAAATCTATCACAAGAAAATAATTGCTTCAGTTAAATTACAGAAATGTCATCTTATTAAAATACTAATCAACCAAAGAACCTACGAGATTCGAATATAAATATACAAATTGCCGAAACTAACCATTGCATATTTTTATAAATAATTTTGATCAACTTTTTAACTAAAGGTAATATTTCATTTTTGTTTAAAAATTGCAATTTAAAAATCATTGAGTTCTTTTTATTCAAATCAATCTTAAAAAATATATAAAGTTTCCACTTTGCTGCAGAAATGTATTTTTACTTAAATGTCTTAAAATCTTTAATGTTTCTTTAAAAATTTCAATCA